CTCTCTCTCTCTCTCTCTCTCTCTCTCTCTCTCTCTCTCTCTCTCTCTCTCTCTCTCTCTCTCTCTCTCTCTCTCTCTCTCTCTTGCTCGCTTGCTCGCTCGCTCGCTCGCTTGTGTGCACACCCACCCACCCACAGTTTGTGTGAACCCCCGGAAAAAGCACGACTGTGCCAGACTGTTTCGTTGCACGTTCACCAACTCATCAGGAGGTTGAACCCTGACAATCTGCCCATGATGCATTTGCGTGCGTGCGTGCATGTGAGTGTGTTCGTGCGTGTGCATGCATGCGTGCATGTGTGTGCTTATGCATGTGCTTGTCGAGCGGGCGGGCGGGCAGCCGTGTGAGTGCGTGCTGTCGCATTCGCTATACACCGGCTCCGTGCGCCACCAAAGATATGCGCGGGGGCTGAACCGCTGCGCCCTATAGGAGACCGGCCCGCCTGGAACCGGTTTCTCCCCACGCCTGGCAGCTCTAACTTCCCTTGCGCTGCGAACTCCTAATCTGGGCCGTTGGCCAACTGCGACCGGGCCGACGGCCCAGATCGTTGTGCAATATTAAAATCTTCAAACTTCTAATCTGGGCCGTTGGCCAACTGGTACCGGGCCGACGGCTCCAATCGTTGCACTATCTTAAAATCTTAAGATCGCGTGACGATCTGAACCGTCGGGCCAGTAGGACCACGGACGGCCTCGATGATCGCACAATAATTTTTTTTTTTTTTTTTGGATCACCGTGCGATCTTAAAGTCTTAAGATCAGGTGCCAATCTGAACCGTCGGGCCAGTAGGACCGGGACGGCCCGGATTGCAGATTTCTCACGTTAGCGATTTTTATAAGTGTAGGGATTAAAGTTGTTTGGTTGAAAAAACATAATAGAAAAAAGTTAAAAAAACACATCAAACAGTACTTGGTTAGACATTTTGCCGATGCGGTGGGATGGGGATGTAGGAGCAGAATAAGATCTCCTACCTACCTCCTCACTAAATCGAATCCTTCCAGCAGAACATCGGGACGAATCACCTGCAAAAAAAAATCAACCAACGAAATAACAGACACGACAAAAAAAATGATTGAAAATTTCTCCACAAAAGAAAGATCATGACTGCGACAAACAGTTTCATCAGATTTTTTGCAACTAACCCAATATGAGAGTTGTTGAATTGGTTCATAACTTAGTAGTTACCCATGACTTCTCCCAAATTTCCTTGAATTTTCTTAATTGATTCTCAGCCGAAGCCGGGTAATAGCCCCAGTATTTCACATGTTTTGTATAATTCCAGATGGGATCGGGCCCGGTTCCCAGCACGTGCTGCTCCCCACGAATAGATTGGAGCAATTGTAAAATGCGAGGATTGAGTTCCTCGGCAGTGTCTGAAAGTGCCGTGCCTGCCCTAAGTGAAGGCGGGCCTGCAAATATGTGCCAATGCCTGTTTATAGGGCTATGAGACCAGGCTGAGGGGCCCAAGCAGAGCCTGTTGTAAACCCCATGTGGGCATGCATCTTCGACGAGGCCTTGTTACAAGTTGGCTCCTTGGCATGCCCTGTAGGGTCCTATCAGCAAGCATGAGCCCACCCTAAGTGAAGGCGGGCCCCCTGAATTTCAATATGGCCTGAGTTTGTCAAATTTGGTAAAGGTTGGTGGGCGCCAGACAGTTGCCATGCGCCAGTTGGTTACATCCTCCATACTCGTGAGAATCAGAAATAATTCCTGAGCCTTCTAGGCTCTTCCGGCAGCACAGGCGAAGCAGGGAGAACCTCATGTTTACACCTGGGTGGTTGGGCAGGCTCAACCAATTCGGTCCCAGGCCACTGTCTGAATGGGCCTGGGCGCAGACACTCTGGCCCGATTGGAAGCTACCGGAAATACACGAGGCCCAGCCAGGGAGCAGACTGGGCGATCACTTTCCATAAAGGAAAGAGCTTGCCACTGGTGGAGTCATTCGGGCACTAGGCAGTGCATGCGGCAGCGCTGCTTGAGCGTGCGCTCACAGGCTGTGCGCTGTGCGCTAGCGCTAGCTGCCAGGCAGTGCACGCGGGCGCTGGAGGAAGGCAGGGCGCTGCCGAGGGCAGCGCCATAGCCAGCCCTACATAGCCAGGGCTTGGCTTGGACAGCCAGTGGAGGTGGTGGTGGTCTTCGTGCATAAGGGAGAAGACGTGGGAGGAAGACAAGGACAGGAAGAGAGTGAAAGAGATGAGGATGATGATGTGAGGGCTCATACCTGGTATTGGCGATGGTCTGCATATTCAAAGTACTTCGGTGGCTGCTGACGTCAACAGTTGCATTGTCAATTCGTAGGCAGGAAGTAGCTGTGTAGGGAGTAGCCTGGGCGCTGAGCGCCAAGTAGGGAGAGAGAGGGCCTGGATACGTATGTTGGTGGGGACGAGAGTAAGCTCTCATTGACATTCGGTTTCGGTGTTTCGATTCTCCATTGGTGTAATATTGGTGCAATGCTGCTTTCTGGACACTGTGGGACTTTCTTGTTTTCAATGTGATTGTGCTATCTGGATTCTGTCATCTCGCTATCTCTCATTTTCCTTGCGGAAAAAAAAAAAAAAAAAAGGGTTGAACCTTGACAGTCTGCCTTCCCAGGAGGTATTCTTGATTGCTGTCATCAAACATGTGCTCTGGTTCAACTCATCAAAGTAGTAGCAATAGCCTGTAGAGAGCTGATTTCTTTTTTTTCTTTTTCTTTTCGGATAGTGGTTTACACGACCAGTTCGACGGAAAAGATTGATCACAAAAAACTTGAAAAACGTTGAAAAAACAAAAATTATTTACGACTCTTGTAAAAGTTTTGAAGCAATTTGGTACCGGTACGTTCAATTTGGGCAATCTGAAGTGGTACCGGTACCGCAATTTGGGAAATCTGAAGTGGTACCGGTACCTTCAAGTTGTGTAACGAGTTCGGGCAGTCAGGCAAGAACCCAGAATAACTGGTGGCCTGTTTGCCTTTTTTTAAAGTATTTTAAAATTTTGTTTTCTAAAAAGTTTCTGTTCAGAGGTTTTGCATTTTCATTTCTTCCCCTCCGTGAATGTGGCTTGAGTGAAACCTCATCCGACTCACCTCCACCGCCGACAAGGCCCCCTCCCCATCCCTGCCCTGCCCTGCCCATGCACAGGCATAGTCACTCCTGCCCGCCTTCCCCCCCAGCTCTCTCTCTCGCTCGTTGCTCCCTGCCCCGCAACGTGCTGCTGCTGCCATGGTACATTGTAAGATGATCCTGCCGCTGTGATAATGCATCGGCCACCTGATTGTGCCTGCCTTTCTTATGCTTCAATACTACCGTCTTCCCCCGGACTGATAGGGCTTTCACTTTGCAGACCCCAAATTCCGGTCTCAGGGTCAAGGTCCCAATGTGGCCGAAATGGGAAAAGGTCGTGTCGGGTACCCCACAGGCCGGAAAGATCACATTGCAATCGGTACCCGGTCTCCCAGTCGACTCCCAGAGTAAAAAATGCAGCAGCGGTCCAAGAAAATACGGAAGGTACAGGGCCTCAAATTTCCAAACTGCAAACAGGCCAGGGGCGGCCGGTACCGGTCAAAGTCAGGCCCAGACCAAGTCAAGCAGAGACCAAGCGAAGTCAAGGCCCAGTCCAGTCAACATAAAAGGACTGGCCCAGCAAGCAGAGACCAAGCGAAGTCAAGGCCCAGTCCAGTCAACATAAAAGGACTGGCCCAGCAAGCAGAGACCAAGCGAAGTCAAGGCCCAGNGCAAGCAGAGACCAAGCGAAGTCAAGGCCCAGTCCAGTCAACATAAAAGGACTGGCCCAGCAAGCAGAGACCAAGCGAAGTCAAGGCCCAGTCCAATCAACATAAAAGGACTGGCCCAGCACCATTCAAACAATTGTTCACTCGTGAGAAGGTGGAAGCGCTGTTGACTGCTTGTGTGCCATCGCGAGTTGAGTAAGCGCCAGGGAGCCCTGCTGGGCTGCGCTAAGCTGTGGAAGACAGGCGGCCATAGCCGCTGTAGTAGTAGTAGTAGTAGTAGTAGTAGAGCACAAGTAGGAGGGCGGATGTATCCAGCGAATGATCCTCATAGTAGAAGAGGTTGAGAGTTCCACACACACACACACACACACACACACACACACACACAGAGAGAGAGAGAG